CCCCCACGGCAAAAAAATTTCTTCCTAATATCCAGTCTGAACATACCCTCTTTCAGTTTAAAGTCATTTCTCCTTTTCCATTACTACACGTCCTTGTAAAAAGCCTTCTTCAACTTTCTAATAGGCTCCCCTTAGGTACTAAAAGGTAGTAATAAAGTCACCCCAGATCCTGCTCTTCACCAGGCTGAACAATACCAATTCTATCAGCCTTTCATCATAAAAAAGCTGCTCCAGCCTTCCAATACTATATAATATCTGTTAGCAAGTTAGTTCTTATTATTAAAAAAGTATTTACAAATATATTGTCTAAAAGTTTATCTTTGAAATTTTATGATTCTTTTCCACAGCTTTAGTAAACTATGGAGGCAAAAAAAAACCCCAACAAAACTGAATCAACCAATGAGGGAGAAAAAAAGAAAAAAGGAAAAAAAAAAAGAGGCAAGTCCTACTTCTAACTAAAAGGGGGAAAAAATTGTTTTCTCCTGCCACTGTCCCCATCTCCCACTTCCTTCCATGACCACAGTATCTCTCACAGCTCTGTGCCTACCAAATACTGATGTCTGCCTTCTCCACAAAAGCAAAGCTTTACAAATCTGCAAGGCAGTCAAGGCATGAGGTGCAGCATGCCTGACTGCTGTGTATTGATGCAGGAGGAGAGAACTGATTTAAGCCACACCTCACTCGTATCGCTGCAGTGATTGGCCATTGAGCTGAACAGAGAACTAAATCCACTGGCTTATGCCCTTCTTGGCATTCACCAGACTTCAGATTTCCTCTGGGAAATCCTGCTTATTACAGAGAGTGGCTTGTATCGTGGGTATTGTCAGCCCTGTCAGTCTGATTTACTTGTGAAACCGGACAAGAATAACTAAACCACTTGTGAAAATGTTGAATGCCATATCATTTGCAATGGTTTCCAGTCCATTTCCTGGAAGCCACACTACTGAAGGATTTGTGTTTGAGAGCTGCTTGATGTTAACCCTAAAATATTATATAGGAAAAAAAACAAAACAGAGCAAGGTCATTGTAAACGCACCATCTATCCCAATTTAGGTTCTTATTCCTAGAACTACCAATAGTATATCATTATTTGCCCCACAATTATAGGGTCTTTTTTGCTCCAGAGTCATTACCTTTTCTTTGCCTAAATCAGTTCAGAATTAGCTCCTCACCCATTCTAGCTCATTCCTTCAGTCAGGTCAGTAGTGTCATGAGACAGAGCTTCTCCATCTCTGCTCTAACCACAGCATTACCTGCTCTCCCAAAAGGGCACATCCTTATGGAGTTCTTTTCCTTAGGTTATGGGTTTGGGAATATTTTCTGGAACTTCATGTGAAAGAGATGCTTCAGTTCAAATGGAGGTTACAAAGCTCTACTACAGAATTCTCTAAGAAAATTGCATTAATTATGCTGCCATGTGGCTGTCAAGACTGTCCCGTGTAGAATTACTGTATGTTCAAACACCAATTTGCATGCTGTATATATTATATAAAATAAATTAAATGGGTAACATGCATGATTTGATAATTAATACATTTAGAGGTACTCACATGTACTTAGATGGCCATGTTTCCCAGACTCAAAAGTACATAGATATTAATAATATCAGAGTGACAGAATCACCTTTTTTCAGAAAAGTAAGGATTTTAAAGCACTAGATCTCATAAACTTTTGCTAATACTTGCAAGAAATTACAGAGATTACTAAAAAAATTGCCAGGGTTAGTTGGAGAATCATTTGTCCTTAGCATCATCAAAATAAGGTCTTTACCTTCTTGCTTCCTGCTAGTCATTTCCTTTTTTGGCTACAAAAGCTAGCATTTGCCTGAATCAGTATGAAAAAGAAGTTGTTAGAAGTTCCTTATGCAGAAAATAACAAGTTCCCAATGGGAGGAAGCATATTTAATACTATTATAAAATAGTTATATTTTGAGCACAGCCTTACTGCCTAATTCAGAAGCACACTGATATAGGCATCTGGTGGCTTCTTGTTTGGAATAGCAGTGCTGGTCCCAAATATTTTAAGATCATGAGTTTTCTTATTCCTGAAGCCTCAAGAGAGCACAGTTTCAGCTTATCTCTGCAGCTTTTAGGACTAAGAGCTCACTTTTTTCCTTAGTTAAAACTGAAGGTCAAAATAAATCTATGGCTTTAGGGCCAAAAGATGAAGAGATGAGCAGGAAGACTGAACAAGACAGAAATGCCAGGAGATTACAACAGTAGTCTAACAGAATAGGCTGCAAATGAACCCCATAACTCTCATTTTTCTTTTGTACAAGTCACTTGATGTTCTCCTAATTATAGGTTTACCACACTTCATTTTGAGCAGAGATCAGCACAAAAATGATGCATTTCAAAGGAAGAGAGAGAGGTGCCAATTTTCTACCAATGTAAAATGACACTGCTTCATTGGACTAAACTGTTCCTCTGCAATTCTCCAGCTTCTGCAGAGGAAACATGCTGACTCCTATACTCTCCAAGAGCACACACCTACTCTGCACACAGCCACAGTTCACGGCCCTCCAGAGCAGAGACAGCCCTTCAGGTGCAAGGAGGACTCAAACTTCATTGGCCACTCTTTCCTTTGCCAAAAGAGAGGTTTTTCAAGGTATCCTCAGCCCATGTACACAAACTGCACAAGGCAACACGCTGCAGCTGGGACAGCTCATGATCTCGGTCCCCTGCCACAGGGATGGGCAGCTCGAGATTCCCACACAGCCTGCTGGCTAAAGACTTAAGTAAATAACATTGTGTATGTGTGTCTCTGTGTCCGTGTTTGTCATGGCCACTTAGTTTGTCCACTGTACTGTTTTAAGTCAATGGGGTTTTCCCTGTTGCTGTGAGAGTTGAGCGATATATGTGAGGGAGGAAGGGGAAAAAATGCCCCAAACACTTTTCTTCTTAACTGACAAATTTGGATGTTTCTATATACATCACAACCTTTTGGGAATATAAGTTTCTGCCTGAGGAAGCCTAAGTATTTAAATTATTTTTAGGTCTGCAGTGTGGTTTGGCCAATTTTAATCTAATATATTTCCTGTTTCCAGCACGAATTTCACAAAGTACCAAGCAGGACAAGATATGGTCCAACAATCTGAATCCATTTTTTATTGTGGTAATTACCAAAATTACTTAATGTGCTAAGTGAATTCAGTGATTTCACAAAGATACCAAATTCACATCACACAACTTTGGCAATATTTGATTCTTTTACATGATATTTTTTAGCCATTGAATAAGTTTCGAGACTTTTCTATTTAATATAAATTACAATTCTTCCAGCAATCTCCAATTAAACTCCCTGAATTATGTAGTGGTAAGAATCGCCTTTATGAACCTTACTATTGTCCATCAAATGAGACATACTAAATAGTTCAACATACAATAATAACTCAGAAGAAGTTCTTCTTTTACAAATGACAGCAGCCTCCTAACCCTTTTATTTTACTGGTTAGAACTGAAGTTAACCTTTCCCTTCCCTGGAGTGGCCTCTTTGCAGTCATGATTCCCAATCTACTTCTTAGCTGTTTCCCTAAAGAAAACAAAATCCCCTCCTGAATTTTGAAAGTGGTGAAAAAATGAGTGTCAATAATGTTTAATAAATAACCTTTGTTAAAACAGTCTAAATCTATGTAAAGTAAGCCCCAACAGCCCTCTCACATCCCACAGCTGATTTGCATATTGGGTCATGGAATGTGTTGTTGGATATTTGACTGTAGACCTCGCTGAAATATTCATCAGACTGTGTTCCAAGTAACATTCAGTATAAATTGTCATTAGACAATGATGGCTTATTGTGAAAACACCACGGAATTTGTACTTTTTAAAAGTGCAATCTGAAATATATTTGCTGCTTGAGATCAGCTTTTAGTAGCCCTAATTATATTAAACACAAATTTCCCATAAGAGTTGCGCAGCCCTGAACACATCCACGCACATGCTGCTTAATGGAGAGAGGCCATCAGACACTGACCTGGAACAGCAAACTCTGCAGTCTGCAGGGGAAAAGAGAACTAGAAAGCAGGAAGCGTATCTTCTGGCATGGAATGAAAAGGGTATGTGTTACAAAAAAGATGGTTTGCAAATGTCTGGACTGCTGACAAATCCTATTCTATGTGTGTGTTATGGAGAGGATCTTAACCAAACCAATAACACTTTCAGAAATTATCAATGCAATGAAATGCATTTATAATCCAGTTCTATAATGTGATAATTCACTTATGACACCTGAATTTTATCTGTTGTCTGTGTTGTTTCCAAGATGTCAATCTCTCATCCTTCTGTCTTTAAAGATGAGGCTTCACACAAATATTTTCAAATTTTTTGCCATAGGAAAATTTTAAACACCACATTTTACAAGAGTCTTAAGTGCTATAATATATTATTTTACAGAAGATGGTGAAATTCAATGGACTGTGAGCTCAGAAAACCTTTTTTCTTTTTTTTTTTCTGGTTTCTAAAAAGTATTCTTTCTTATAATGTGGTGAAATTTAATGGACTGTGACCTCAGAAAACCATATTTCTTTTTTTTTTCTGGTTTCTAAAAAGTATTCTTTCTTATAATCTGTGGTCTCAACATAATGGGACTAACAGAAAGTACAGAAAGTTTCTACTTGTGAAAAAAGCATCTCCAACATCAATGTTTTCACAGATTACTGGACATTACATCTGGTTCAGTGCTAGACAGTAGACTAACACACAATTTTGTGAGGGAGCATTCCACTTAAAAAATAAATGCAAAATATTTGCAGATGATCATTCATTTTTATTAAAGGCATTCTGCTATCAATGCTGAAGGGTTGACAATGTCAGAAGCAGACCTGATAGAAATGCAGAAGTCACAAAGAAAGGAGATAAATATTTCCATCCCCATAACACTTTCTTCAAAGTTGTTTTGGTTTTCACTGTTGGGAAAGTTTGTTTCCCAGGTCCATTGTATTCAATAAGGATCGCACAGAAAGCTTCTCCATGAGAAATCTCCACTGAAAATGGCTGAGTCAGGAAGAATCTCTGCAGAGGTTCCTGCTGTTCAGCTTCCCTGCTTCAGAGATGGAGAATGAGTAATTCCTTCACAAACCTGAGTTTAATATAGCTTTGTTACCCATGAGTAGAAAAACCACAATCGCGTTAGGCAAATTATTTCATGCAGTTTAGGTAAAAGCTTCATGTCTTGCCAGAGCCCATTTCTGTGCAATGAAAGACTACACATGTCACAGGCACATTCTTGTAGCGAGAAATTGTGAAAGCTGAGAAATGTTACTGATGTTGCATGTCACACACTGCTCACAAAGAAACAGGTTTCCCTTAATACTCTAAGTCCCATTTTAAAAATCTTAGAAGGAGAGATAAAAGCTTGTGCATTTTGGAAAGGTCTGCAGACTATCTACTAAAGAAATAACTTTTTCATATTGAATAATACCCCAGGATTAACACTTAATGTCATAGGACCTATCATGCCTAGAAACAGAAGCCTCTTGCTATGGGCAATGGAAAAAGTAGTCTTTGCAGCTTTCTAACAGTATGAAGCACCTGCCTCTAATACTGATGAGCATACTGAGACCTTAATCCTTTTACTGATCCGGAAAAATTGCCAGAACACCATCACTTTCAACACAAAACCAACTGAAACTTGGCAACTTCAATGAACATTACTTTGGAGACTAAATAAACTGAAGTCCAGAATGCAAAACAAAACTCAACAAATGTGAAGCCATGCAAATCAAACCACTCAACCAAAACCCTTCCCATGAGTCACTAGGAAAGAAAGTTCTGTTAATGCAGGGACCTTGCTCAACATCAGCAGCTAGATGCCTGTCTGGAAAATCCCATGTGGCATTGAGAGAAACCACAGTTTGCATTTTGTGCATCAGGTCCATTTTATCTTTCCTTTACGCTCTAAGTATAATGCTAAAAGCCCTCCAGGGGTCTGAACTTGCTGGAAAGACAACATATATTGCATCTTTACACAGTACACTCAATAACAGGGTGAGAAAAATCTCTTACCATTAATTGATTTGGGCTCCTTTGTCCAGGTCAGCCCCAGACAGAGTTTAGCTGTTCAGTGGATTAAGTACAAGTACCAACAACTCCAAGGTCCGCACCCTTGCTGAGAGCTGACATAACGTTACTATCATATGAAATATGTGAGCTCAGCCACAGCAATGCCAGAGTCAGAAAGAGGCAAAGCACTGAATAATCCCTTGAAATGGTATCTAAAGCTTCATAAACTTATTTAGCTCCTGAAAATCAAAACATGCATCTTCTGTTCACCATATCCACATAGTGTCTAGTAGGATCCACAAGGCAAGCTACTGTTTCTTTTACACAAATTTTAAAATAAGCATTGTATTTAAAACAAATTGGTGCATAAGAAAATGTATTTTCATATTTTGAAGGATGAATTTTTAATAACTTAATTAAAATGTCACAGAAGAAAGAATCATTACTTGTTACACACTCCAAAACCATCTATATCAAACAAGTGTCTCCAAAACTGCCCTCTATATGTATATTAATGATGCCTTTAAATGCTTAAGATATGTCCTGAATAATACATACAATTTTAATTAACTCCTATTCTTAATGTTCTCAAAGAAAACTGAAATCACTCAAATGCTAAGTTCACTCTCAATTACTATAATTTCGGTATTATTATTTATTATTAATACAGAACTCAGTGATCAGTATGTGTTTACAAGCAATCTCAGTGAATCTACTTTAGAACCCAGAAACTGCAAGTCACATCAACACTGTAGAACAATTCAAGGCTCAATGAGCAGAAAGAAATCTCTGGCGGCTCGACAAGAAACTGGCTTAGACAACTTACAAAACCAATGACCTCTCATGGTTTAGAAACTTATCATTCTCTCTTGCTGATGGTAAAATTATCTTTCCAAAAGAAAGAAGTTTTTCACATCCTTCGGGACAGAAAGGCCAGGGAATAGATCAGGCCATCGTGGTCCTGCTACTTGTAGAAACAGTGTAGAAATTGATCAGTGGGTACTGGGACCTCACATACTTGAAACATTCCTCTTTGGTGCCACACAGACCTGGTCATTTTCAGATGTAACAAAACTTCAGTGATGATTGAGATAAAATGTGTTGAGTGGGAGCAGCAAGTCTGCTATCTAAAGAATTGCCCATAGCTAGTTAACTGAAGATGCAGACAAAGGTAGTTGCTTTTATATTAAAGTGTGTAAGTAGTTAAGTGTGGTAGACAGAGAAGGGACAGGAGGAAAATTGCAGAAGCGACACAAAAATAGATACAATCAAAACAGAGAATTCCTTTAGGGAACAGGATGCAAGGAACTAACAGAATTCAGGGGCAGAAGATTTTGTAGCAAATCCAAAGAAAATTATTATCACTTTCTTCTTCTCACCCACACAGTCCAAATCTGCAAATTTTTTTCAGGGGAAGATCACATGATTTGATGAGGGAAGTAGATGTTCCAACTATTAACACAATTCATCTGGAGGCATGAGGCTTTTCTTCTGACTTATGGAAACAGTGCCTGGGAGAAATACCATAATAAGTGGAAGACTGGGTTTGTTGAGTTACCCAAGGTGGCTGAAAGCCTGGTTTTATTTGGCAAAGAGAGGATTTACTGTATCTTCAGGGATGTCTCTCTTACACTTAATGTGAGGGCAGAAGTGACCCTTGTAGGAGCAAGGGATTGGAAAAAACTCTTCAGGTAGTGAACTCAACTCCTTGCTCTCATAGACAAAAAGATTGGGTGAAACACTGCAAAAAGAGCCCCTCCCAAAAGTTCTCCAGCTCACTGCAGGAGATAAAGCTGGGAAGAGTTTCAAGGTTTCCCTTGTGAGTGGTAAATGACAATTATCAACCCCATGAAGTCACTAATGATAGTATTTTCTATGGGGAGCTTATTACTCTGCCAGGAAAGAGCAGTGTGAAAAGTAATAACTACAAATATTAAATAGTCATGATAGTACCTGGTACAAAAGTTGGCAATAAACTCCCTGACATTCCACCAGATTCATTTCAGTTTCATATGTACCATGTATAGCGTCATTTCCATATGTTTGGGAGAATCGTTTTTAAACTTCAAGCTCAGTCCTGTCCAACTCATGGCCATGCAAGCTTCACAATTGAATTCAGTGAAAGAAAGACTGAGTACCCAATCATCAACATACTGAAACTGATTTCTATTAAACCTGACTTCTGCTAAATTTCCAGTATGAGAGTCACTTTGGAGACACATTGGCAATTTTGGTAGTCTTTTGCATAATACTTCACATAAAATTTTTACAAAGTGCTTACAATACAAATACAGTTCAGATTTCTATCAAACCCTCCTCCTCACCCATAATCTCAGCTTTATCTGTGGCCATTATAATTTTTTTTTCTCTTTATTCACTTTAACAGTGAACTGGAGGTGGTGACTCAGGACACAAGGGTTAAACAGACATCCAGCCAGACTTTTCACACCATTTAAAACACAAGAACATTTATTCACATAGTTCACTTCTGGCAAGAAAGCACATCTAGAACAGGGGCCAAATAATAGCTTTTTCTGTAGTATTAAAGTACGTAGAAAAGACAGGGGGTAACATTTAAACCCTGGCCTCAGCCAAAAGCCTACCACATATTTCCCACTTCAGGAGCAGTAGGCAGAGGCATTTTGCCTGACATCGTGCTCAGGAAAATCACCAAGATTCTCATTTCTATTTGAAGCATGCATTCCTGCTCCTCTCTAACAAGAACCATCCTCAGTGATGGCTGTTTCCATCAGAGCCCTTGGAGGAAAACACTGCAGTAGCTGCTGGCTGCAAACTTCTGGCTCTGCAGCAGTGAACAATCAGGAGAAGAAGATGGAGTGATCTGCACACTGCACAGAATTTACAGTCCGAAAGGAGAGCATATTGCAAGTGTGAAATTGTCCTGGCTTTTCAAACCAAGACAGAAATGAATTTCAATAAAAAAACCTCTTGGAATCCAAACTAAAAAAAGAAACGTTAATGGCATTTACTGCCTAAAAAGGCCAGCATGCATACTCTGCAGGGGATGTCTGGAAGGAATGACTGATGGGCAACTACTTTCTGTATTGTTTCTCCTGAATCACCAGCTTGATAATGCAGAGACCCACATTGTAAATGACTCCACAGAGGAGCAAATACAACCTGGAAATCTCACCTTTCTAGAGAAATAACCAACCAAGCATCCATCTCATAGTTTTTGACAGGTCTAACCCTAACCATACAAGTTAAATCTCAAAGATATGAGACTTTAATGTCTTGAGAGTACTGTTTCCCTTGGTACTGGCTCTGTTCAGTACTGATTATTTTTAGGACACAGAGGTTGCCAGCTCCAAAGGATATCCCTATAGGACTGCCCTAACAAGCACAGTCAGCCAAATAAATTACGACAGCAGCTAGCATTGCCGTTTACCTGGCTGTATAACTTAACCATCCTGACTATCTATAGCTTGGCAAAAACAGCTTCTTGGTCTTCCAGGAGTGCTGTAAGGTCAGTCTATTTTCACAGCCTCCCCAGTGAAGATCATGACAACTGCAAATAGGGGCACTAATCCAAAGGGAGAGCACCTATCATTTGGCAATGTATTCAGCTGAGTACTTTTCACTCTGTATTTTTCAAGTGTCTGAAAAATATAGGCATTAAAAACCTGCAACAGTAAACATCATACATTAAATTAGTATCCCAGAGCTTCACTAAGCAAAAGAACAGCTTGCCCAGGCTGGCAGCTATAAATTGGCAGCTCTCAAGTAAGGTGGGGAGATCATTTTTACCTAGGGCATAGAGCTCCTTTCACCAAACTGAAGATTTCATCTTTGAAGTTCCTCATCAGCAGACACTACAAAAACAGGGTAGGGTATGTCTTACTTTGCAATGTCCCTCCTTCGAGAGCCAAAAGTCTGCTTGCAGCTTTTTGGATAAATTCAGGAGAGTATTACACTGGAATTAAGCAACAGCACAATGGTAGAGACATCAGGCTTAGCTGTCAAAATAATTACACATAGCTAACAAAGACTGAAGTAAAATTTTTTGGTTTATGACTGTATGTCCCTGCTGAAATTTATGTTAGCCTCTTAAAATCTGGCTCAGGTACACCTACCTGTGCTGCAGATACAGCTGCACTGCAGTACAGACAGCTCAGCTACTGGCCAAATTACCACTGGGAATAGTCAATAATTAGACTATGCATGAGATTAAACAAAGGTAACATGAAGGAGGATACTCTGAAAGCTAATGCCATGCTATCATATGAAGGACAAAAGAAAAAAAAATAAAAATAAAAAAAGGCAGCAATCTTCCTGCTTATACCTCTGGGAATGTAATTTCTTCCTTCCAGCACAGCAAAGCTCAAAAATATAGGACACTGTGTGTCACAGAGGGTCAGTGGGTTACACTTATTTATACACTATGTATTTGGTTCAAGGACTCTCAGAGAGAAAATAGAAAGTAAAAAGCCTTTTCCTGATGGAGCTTTCAGCCAGTAGAAACTGAAGATAATATTGTACTTTTACAGCATGCAGTAGATCACCAAATTCATTTTTACTGGGGTCATAAGAAAAGATTTTAGCTCTAGACTTCAGAGTTAAAGAGCTGGTGCACTAACCATAAGGAATTGTCATATGAGATGTCTGATTGCTATTGTGGTTGGGGGTTGGCAAGGGGAGCAGGGTATTTTTTGTTTCTTATACTGAGCTGGTATTGATCTTGAGTTCAAGACTAATTATATTATTGTTGTGTCTGAAAATTATACATATCAAAGGAAAATTAACTTTCACATAAACCAAAGGAAGGCAGTTTGAAAAGTTAAATAAAGCAAGTCTATTCCACTCTATAGTCCTTATTTTACTATCACAGTTAGTGCTTTCTAATCACTTTTTTTTTTTCCGTTTAAATATTTCTATATTTCTGCTCTCTCCTCATATGTATGAATGGTTTCAAGACATAAGTTACAGAAAAGCTGTTAGAGATCTACCACATCTTACTGTTTCCAGGTCAGCTTTCAGCTCGAGGGTGCTGCCAAGGGTCTGTGTGTGTTCGCTCTGAACTTCAGGGCTCATCCCTCCCTTCTACCAGGATCGATTACAAGGTTTGCTGTTACAAGACTGGGTCCAGTGACATGGACACTTTGCTGCATCCCCAGTAACTTACAGAAATTTTAAAAAAAAAACAAAATCACTAATGATGAGTAATAATAATAACAACCCATCACCTGAAAAAAAGCTTGACTTTTATCCAGTTTAGGAGAAGGAATTAAGCCACATGCACAGAAAACAACAACATATCTTACCACAATCAAGAGTGCTGGAATAAGTATAGTTTGCATACGGACAAAAATCAAGAGAAATCTTGTATCCCCTCCTTAAAATCCTCCTCTATTCAAAAGTCTTTCAATGCACCTTGCTAAAGGTTACAGCATTGTCACATACTCTGCAGTTATATGAATATGGGTTTCTTCCTCCTTTTCCCAGAACATTAAAGGACAGCACCCTAGCATTCTCTTTTCATTTTTCCTTTTTTTATCTCTCATCACCCTTTGCCTGTTCCTGGCAGAATTCAAGTCATATATGTACAATAACTGGTGGAAAAAGAGATAAACAAATCTAAGAAAATGTACATTCCATACAAAATAAACCTCATAGTGGTCTACACTTAAACTTTATAATAATGTGTCACATAAGCAAGTAGCATTGCCTCTGTTTATTAAAAGAATAGAAAGAACTAGAACAAATTATGCAGTATATTTGACCTATACTTTTACATTTTATTGGCTTATGCTCAGTGAAAAAGAGGGTTAGAATTATGTACCTGATCTCTCAGGACTTTTACAAATGTAGAATTTCTTTTGCACAAACACAAGACACTTCCCCTCAATTTTCCTATTCTTGCACAAAAGCAAACATTGGACTTTAAACTATGTAATCCATGTAACAGATTTTTCACACTGGGAGAGCAGCTCCCTGGAGGCAGCTCTGTAAAAGGACAGAGGTCAGTCAGTGAGTTTAGGAGCTGAATGCTCAGTGTGTGTCTCACTGGTAAATCAAGCCTTCGAATTATTTACAGTCTGGGGCAGAATTTCATGGATACACGTATTTTTACAGTGTTCGCTCCTGAGCTTATGCTCCTCTTCTTAAAGGGATGGGAATCCAGACTCTGAATAGCAAATCTTTGGACTTAATCAAGCAGCTTTTAAAATTTCATATCACTAGACTAAGACGAAATTTTGTCTTCTTAACTATACACTAGAATGTGACAGCCTCTACTCTGCTAGCTATCTTTCACATCTCTTATTCACTGCCAGGAACTTGACAAGTGCCTTCAATCAAACCATGATGTAAATTTTCATCATTTCACTATTTTACTTTAAAAAGAAGTATCAGTAAATATCTGTAAAAGTATCCCAATATTTTATTTCATAGATATCTTAAAAATGCTTCTAAAGCATAGCACTGGCTCATACATAAGTATTTCTTTTAGGTCTTTTACAAGCCTATGCTCTTTCATTCTTTCCTTGTTTTCCATCTCTGTCAGCCACCTCCTGTCTTAGATGCTTCAAGGTAGAGACCACCTTTCTATTAAATATTTGAAAAAAATTTTTGAAAGTCTATTTGGCCATGATTAGAGCTCTTAAAAATGCAGCAATTTCTGCTCTGTCAGCAATAAATAAATGCAGCATTGATTCCTTTCACCAAACTGCACAATGTGTTCTTAAAAATCACTGGTCATCTAATTTTGATGATTCACTATAGGTAATCCAGCCAGCAAAATTCCAATGAACATTTTCTGACTCTTGCACTGCTGTTCCAAACTTCACCTTCAGTATCCTTCCATATACAAGCTCTTTAGTTGAGATAGGTTTAATTTAGCTCTTATGCATATTTATAACGATCCTCTAATCATCATTGTAAACAATATACAAAGCTGACAAACTCTGTTACAAGAGCAATTCCAATAAAATCAGTGGGATGTGCACCTGATTTAGGATTTTTTCAAACGTTGAGTACTTGCTGACTTCATTCATGCCATACATTGTAAATGTTTATTGCCTCATTACTAACAGCTGTAATAAAAAACTGTTACACCATACCCAAAAAGTAAAATAAAATAAACTGTATCTTCAAAACCCATGAGATTAGCTTTAAATCATATACTATCTTTAACATAAAAGAAAAAGTTTACAGGGTTTTAATTTCCTTACTTTATGCAATCTTTGTATTTATTATACGATTTTATGGCTAGAAACTCACTAATTACTTTTCCTTCAAAGGCAAGGGTCTTGTGTAAATACAGGAGCTGGGGTTTTAAGAAAAACCTGAATGTCACAGGACTGAATAATGTTATTTTTCTATGTTTTACAAAGAAGTAAAAACAAATTCTGTTTTTTTCCCATAAAATACATACTACCATTTTCTGAACTAGAATATTTGATATGATTTTTGTTTTAATTTAATTTGAAGAAGAAAGACATTCCAGAAGAAGAAAAGCTTCACTCATACACAGAAAATTGACAGATGCTTTTTCTAGGGGTTGATGGCATTTCAGTGTTTTTCAAGTGATGACTCAGGTTTTCTTTTTGTTTATCCAGCCACAATTCCCTTCTAGCTAGCTTATTTTGCTTTTTTAAATGAATATGTTAATTAAGTAGTATATTTTGCTAGACAAATCTCAATTTCTTCCCTCTCTCTTTCACAGTTAAAAAGCAAGCACTTCCCCAGAACACCACTGTTTATTGAAATTGAAAGTCTTTAGGGCGTTTTGGATGCAGGAGACTTCGAAGTTTGAATGAGGAACTCCACTGGCAAGCTTTCAAACTTATTTGCAGATCAGGACCTCTTTTGTAGAAGTCTCCCCAGGAGGAAGGCAGTTAGACACCTGCCAGTAGCTTGCAGTGGCACCATCCCACTGTGATGTTAATGAGATGAATGAGAGCACCACGGAGAGCTGCAATAATTACAGGGTGAAGAGCTTGTCTTTTCCTGACCCTCCTCTCTGGGCTGCCTGTTCTAGAAAGCAGGGTCTTTTGTAATACTAATTACAAATGTTAATTAAACATTTCTTTGGAATTTTGCCCTCCATTAATAGGTCAGATAAACAGGGAATAGCAATGAAAGGCACAAGTCATTATCAGCCACATGAGAAAAATGCCATTTATTTGTTCCCTTCCTTTAGTCCCTCCAAAGACATAACTTCTGGTTTTGTTTTATTAAAGAGACACTAAAACCACTGAAGTATCATTTTTCTACACAGAAATAAAATAAAAATAATTCTTACTTTAATGGAGTTAAACCTAGTTCTAAGGCCATTTCCACTACAACTCACTCTAGTCTGTGTTGACTTAACAAATTTTAACTATAATCATGACTCTGAGGCTACATAAACGACCTTCCAAACACAGACTTAAGGAATCAGTCATGACAGCTGTTGATGACAGCACAAAATCTAGTTTGATGGCTTCCTCTGGCATGAGTAGCACATGGTCTTTCAAATCATTGCACTAATCCCATTTCTAACCTAGTCCCTAGAATTACAGGAGTGACCCCTGCCCAGATCAGAACTGAGCACAAGAACTTGGCAGATATTGCCAGAAAAATAAAAGCTCTACCCCTTGCCTGACAGTCTGCCACAGCCAGATGCTCCCATCCAGGCTCACATGGAGCAGTAATTTAATACATGGCAATACTAGCTATTTCAGTGAAACAACTTCTGCTGGGCCAGCTCATCTTACCTTTCCTTATAGCACACATTGCTAGGGCACAGGAGGGAAGCAGACTAATTCCAAATTTAATCCTCTAATATTTCTCTCAAATATGTACGTGTGGTTTTAAAAAGCATTTGATGTCACCAAATGGAAACAATTCCTTTCGGAAGAAATTAAGTCAGAAGATGCACTTCAAAAACACAACCAATGCATTCCAACAAAAATACAAAGGAACCTCACTGCAAACATGAGAATGATAAGAGGAGTTTCACTCAAAAATTAATTTCCACCAGGCCATGTCAGTTGCGAAGGCAGGCATAGCCTTTCTCTAATGTAACCCTATTTTATTAACCTAAAATAAGAATTTTCCATTTTGTCATTTTGTTAGATAACCTGAAATCAGGTTCTTCTGATTTGATAAGAAATGGGAACCGATGCACAGCTGAAGAATCCACTGCTTTCCCATACACTCTCATTGCTTTGACAGCAGCCCACCATATGGGAAATATCAGCAAGACAAAGTCAATTTAGGAAACTTCTGAAGGATTATGACTTTGAAGGTATCTTTATGTTTACTACTTGTAACCATGGCATCATTGGCTGTGGCCATCAGACTGTGTTCTTACTCACACACTCCTTCATGCAGTGAACTTTGAAAAAATCTGGTCTATGAATCACCTGAACATGTCAAGGCTTGCACCATTACAGTGCAGGATGGGCATATACACAAAAACTGACCCAGAGTCATTTACAGGTTCATGGAATTTACCAGAGTTTTGATTCTTTCATCATAGCTGTTTCAGCGAGTTGTTGCCACCACTACTCAGGTGGTTTTTATTTCACAAAATGTGACTGTGTGGAGCCCTGAGTACTCCCACCATTTCCAAAGTGCTCCAAGACACACCATGAGCCTCTCTCTGCAGCAGCCTTCTATTGCCCACTTCCAAAGCACAAAAGGCAGAGCTAAGAGAGCCCACATCTTCCCAGGTCCGTACCACGCCAAACAGCTCCTTTGCACTGTCACAGCCTATGTGACAATGCAGTCTCACGGGCTTGGCTGAGTCAAACAACTGCTTTCTCCTCCAGCTGCTAATCCAGGTGTGGATTGCCAGCTCCAGTGATAGAACTGCAAGGAAACTACAAGGTCTAACTCTGCAAGCTTTGGGACAGTTTGTGATCATTGAGACAGCTCAGAGCTCTTCTACTCTGCTGAATTTCACAATAATTAGCAAAGTATGTTTTATATCTCAAGTGATCCATCTATCCTTGCTTATCTTACTCACAATTTCAGCTGTGTTTGCAACTGTTCTATA